TACATTGGTCGAGCAGTATGGAGGGATATTGACATGTATTTTGTGGACTTTTATGGACCTTTCTGTCTCGGGCACATTAGACCTCCATTATTTGAATGTCAGCAGACAGCAAGATGCCTCCCAGATCTCCAGATGCATTTGAGATATCAAAAAAGTACTCCAGAGTGTTGTTCAGCATGGGGGTGAGTAGAAAATGAAGGCTAATCATGTTTTGGGTGTACTATTCCTTTAAATTTCAGTTTTAGTTACAGAGTATATGATGATTGGTGCCACTGCAAATACTGTACTTGGTGTGCTGTGAAGAGTTTAGATTGACTATTGATTGCTCTCTGAAAAGTAAAGAACTTAGTAGTGGTTTATAGTCACCCTTGATTTTGTCAGGACACTAGGGAAAGTCACAATCACTCTGTGGAGGGTCACTCAGGATGTAGTCTAAGGACTTTTAGATTGGGCTGTTTATAATTATACTGCTTGCAATATAGCCTTAGTGACCTTTATTCTGCTATGAAAGAAACTGATAAAAGGGGTCGCACTATCAAACTATGTGAACCCGCAAAGTTACACTCAATGCTCTTCCCACATACTGCCTGATTCTTATCCCTCCCCTCCAACAGCCTGGCCTTGTATTGCTCAGGAGAATGCTAACAAAGCTGAGGGAAGTGTAAGACTTCCACATGGAAGAGGCAATTAACAGCTCAATGCCCTAAGGGATAAAGTGGGAAAGGCAAGGAGGGAGAGAGAAAATGTCTGGAGATATGAGCATGTGAGGAAGCGGCAAAGGAGTAAAAGAAAAATGTTGTAATTTCAAATCCAAAACTGTGGAGCAATGAAGGTAAAGTCATAGTATTGATGTTCATATTGTTCTTTTCGAAACTCCGACTTGAAAGATCCTAAAATACATTAAAGAAAGACAAGAACCTGGTCAAAGACAAGTACATAGATAAAAGATGAGGAAGTAGGAAGTAGCTAAAGGTAACACCGAAACAGAGTCAAAGAAAAGCTTGTAAGAAAAAGGGATGTGGGGGAGGACTAAAGGGAGGGAGACAGATAGAGGGCTATTGTTATCAGAGTGAGATCTGCCAGTCAGTTCAATCTCACTCGACACAGCTGCCACACTGATTCTTATCTCCACAGAAGAGATTAAAACAGTCGAAACAAGCAAGTCTTGTATCATCCACAGCACTCAAAAAAGACAGAGGGAGTAAACTTCCCTACAAACCAAAAGAGATGGAGTGATAATAGGCAGAGGCACATGCCTCAGTTCTCTTATAGAGTCATCACTTACTGACCGCTCTGCTGACATTCAGGCTGGCCAAGTAAACCGGGACCAGGTGTTAGTGAGAGGAAGTCATCCCTCTCTGACACTACAGGCAAACTCATCAGGCTGGTTTGACATCCACGATCATTCTTTAACTTCTGCTTTCAGTCCAGAACAACAACATAACCTGCTGAAACAAGGACATGGTGGTATTGCTTGTAAATGTTTCATATTTCACACCTCAACTCTTTGGCTACCACTGTATTGCAGCACAGTCCTATCCAAATTTGTCACTAAGTGTGAGAAAATAGTTTTGTATTATCCTGCACAGATAGGAAATATAAAGTAAAACTTACTTTGTGGTTAATTTATTTATTTTCCCTCTATTTTTGGCTAGCAGAACCCATTAGAGTATGAGTCTAGAGTGGGTTGGCTTGATGAATCTGCTGTCTGTTTGATATGATGATTCAGCTGCACTATTACCATGAGCGATTTCATCTTAAGGCAATGCAAGCTCTTTCACTTTATGGTCAAAGAGGCAGAGGGAGCTGCTGATGACAAAACACAAGTTAATGTGGGATGAGACAGAGGCATTTAATCAGGTTCATCAGATATATGGGGATGATGATGTAAATTCTAACGTAATGTATGGTGATGAACAAACTCCAAAGAACACACACACACCCTTAAAATTTGGCAGGGAGAAGAGATAAATGACCCACATGATCAGATTAGTGTGGTTGTTTGCATACACTGCATTTATGATCAAAAACTTGAACACCCATTTCCCATTAGCAGCAGGGAAAACTTGCCATTTCCAGGCTTGACCGTGACCTCCATGGCACGGCATGGCAAAAAAATTCTATGAACTTTACTTTAACATTTGCCAAACTGTTTCCATAATTTGCAACCATCTTACAATCCCCAACTAATTAAGATTAAGTAGATCTCACATGCCTTGTTAAAATGTTACCTGACAGTGTCCTTGTGACCAAATACTAAGACATGACCTAGCAATTCCAGTGCGATTTAAGAGAGGTCAGGGAAGATGCATGTATGAATGGGGATTGCTCTTCTTAATATATTCCACAGTAAAGATCAGTGCTGGGCCACCAGGAGAGTGAGATGAATAGCAATGACTGTTTGTATGGACTGGCAGATAGGAGAAGACCCTCACTGCACTGCATTAACTTTTAATTACGACCGTCTGGGAGATTCAATTACCCATTTGAGACTAGACCTGCCAGGGCTCTACAATCAGAGTGTGCCCATCTGTGCCAGGGTAAAACTTTTACCTTTCGATAAAGTGAACTGGTGGTTATTTCTGGTTATATTTCTAATTTTAAATTTGAAATATATCATTATTTGTTTCTGGCTAATTTTTTTTTGTTCTTTCATTGAAGGTTTCTGTCCAACATTTCCTTCACTGGCTCGACAGGACTGATCCAAGTGGATGCATATGTTTCTAGAGTCCTCTCCTCACAACTCTTCCATGTATGGAGTCTTAAAAGAGGAGCCCTGGGTCAACCAGCTTGGGTTACTGTAGGACAGTGGACCCGTGGACGACTGGAGCTGGAGGGCGGCATTTTGGGAGGACTTGGTAACAGCCAGGGACAAGGTCTTGGAGCTGGAGTAAGAGGAGGGGACGGCCAGGGAGATGGCTATTTGGGAGGACTCTGGAGGCCAGGACTTTCTGTTGAGGGACACCGCCTCCGTGTGGTGACGTTGGTGGAACACCCATTTGTCTTCACACGGGAGGTAGATGAGGATGGGTTGTGCCCAGCTGGTCAGCTTTGTCTGGATCCTAGAACCAACCGATCTGATATAATCAATGCTCTCTTTAACCAGCTACACAACCCCAACTCTACAGTAATGGACTGGGAAGGAATCGGTGGGTTTGTCTGGCACTTATTTACTTAATAATGCATGAATAAGTAGCTAATTCAGACACTCCAGTAACATTACTAATTTAGCACATGCAGACAATATATTTTATCAATTACTTATATATCTAATTACATTCTACTTCAGAGCTTGATGTTAACCATTGCCCGATCGCCCGGGGCAAGTAGTTTTTATTGTCAGGAGAGTACAAATTTCATTGCATTTGCCCACCGGGCAAGAAAAAATTATTTATCACTGAAAATGACTTTAAAATCACCGACATTTGCTGAAAACGACCCACAAGCGTTGCTGGCGCGATTTTTGTTGTTTTGTACACATTCTCGTGTGATTTGTAAAAGCTGCATGATTTTCCGCTAGATTGCGTGCTTTTTTTACGGGAATTGGCGCGTTAAAGGACCAAATATGGACAATTTCAGCGCCACAGAAGCGGTGGAGAACTGGTGGAAAGATGATGATAAAGCCAAACAACCAGGATTCAGCTCTTGGGGAGGGAATTCTGCAGAGCAGCAGCTGGATGATGAATTTAATCTATACTATAATACACGCTAGATTAAAAATGATCAGTCAGGGATTAGGAAAATAATAATTGTATGCGCACAGTGTAAATATTTCTGTCATATGGCAGTCTTCTGTACAGCAGTCATAAATTAAAAAATGTTCATTAATTTTTTTTTCTCTTAGACATTGGAGCGGTGCATTTAAATGTTTTAGAGCTAAACATGTCAAATTGGTGAGTAGTAGTAGTGTAAGTTTTTTATAGATTTTTAACATTACAATTTATATTTTCCCAAGCACACAACAGTTTAAAGCAAAGTTTAGTTTGAAAAGAATGTGCAGGAAGGATTGAAAAGCATGTTAACAAAGTAATGTAGGCTTAAGTTCATTATCTGACGCATACATATACACACCAGGAACATGTTTCATTGATATATATACAAAAATGAATATTAGGAACTATAGTTATCAAACATTATACTGGGCAAGTAAAAATTGTTTCTGGGCAAATGAAAACTGTAAAAATCCTTAACGTCAACCTCTGTATTTATAATTTCAGTACTTTCATCTGAAAAGGGCATCACCTTTTAACAGTTCTTGAAACCAACAATCTTCCCAATTCATACTTCACTTTTAAGTCAATACAACTCCAAAATCCATTAAATGAGCAATATGAAAGGAGAATTGGTTTGTTGCATATCTCTAATCAAATGTACAGAAATATAATTGGTAGAAAAAACCTGGGAAAAACTAACACAAACCAATTCTGACAATTGAATTTCTGTAAAGTTCACCATGACTGATTCCATGATCCTTTGATTCTTCCAGGTTGATGTTAATACTATGTAAACTGACACACATCGATAGTAATTCAACAAGGCAGAGTAGTTTTAAAGTGTTATTTATATTGGTGATTGCTGTAGCGTCAACTGCATAATGAAAGTGAAGACTTTTACTACATGCTCATCTATGAGAACCGAATCCTGCAAAGTCAATGACTTAATACAATCAGATGGGTTTCCTTAGATAGAAAACCTTAAACCAATCTGACTGCTTGACTCCAGTCAATTGTCTATGCAAAGCGCCTTGAGATAAATGTATTGTGAGTTGGCGCTATCTAAAGAAATTATTTAATTGAATGAAAAACTGTATTAGTGCAGGATCATTAATGGTCATTAGTGTTTAAAAACATATCAGATTTTCTTGTCAGGGGCTCAGTTCCAGTTGTATCACCAACAAATAAAGAGCATTGAAATTATTTAGTCAATTTGAGATGAAAATCACTCTATTAACCATGAATTAGGGGATGTGTTTCTAAATCAGACAGGTATTTGGTATCTGGCCCACAGGTTTAAACTTGAAAGCTTTTCCTAATTTTTTGTATCTATAATTAAAAATCTGCTACCAGATCACACAATTTGAGACTTGTTCTTACCTTAAAGCAATAATACTATAATGATTAGCTGTATATAATACATTTATATATATATATATATATATATATATATATATATATATATATATATATATATATATATATATACCTTCCGATATTCCGAACATTTATGTCAATGTAAACACAGCAATTTTCTAAATGATATTGGGTGCAAATTTTTGAAAAAAGAAAATAATGTATTACCATTTGTGAAAAGGCTGTAAAATGACTGAATGTGGAAAGGATGCTAAAAACTTTCCAGATGCACTGTATCTGGATGGCTCTTAGGCAAGACTTCAGGGTAGTCGTTTATGTAGTTATATGGGTACAGGAAGTTACTCTTTAAGTCATAAAGGTTGCACTGTGTTCATATTTTGCGCTCTAAGGTTGGGAAATCCTACTGTTCTTTTTACCAAGTGGTTCATTCCTTACCCTTAGGCATAGAAACAAAGTAAATGGTAAAATTCCAAATATACCAACTTTAACTTTATCCTTTTGCATAGATAGAATTTCAGACTAGTTCCCAAACCAAGAGAGCTCATACAGTATTTGTCTTTAGCTCTACAAGTTATGTGGATATTAATAAGGAAATTTAACTTTTTTTTTATGAAGCACCCTTTAGAGCTATAAATGGCAAATTACAAGTTTTCATAGGGTTGTCTATGGGTTTAGATTCATGGAGTCATCTGGGCCCAACCTAAAGGAGTTGGCAGACTACCGTTTTTAATTAACTAAGATTGCAAAAAGACTTTGCCAAAGAAATCAAGATAGCAAAAAGTTTGGTTTGCACTGCCAGCTGTCTGTTTTTATACATATTTTAAGAGTTTATTATTTATTTTTTTTTAGTATTCTAGGCTTAATTTTAGTAAATGTAACCCGAGGATTTTGTGCCAGGTTCATTAAAATGTCCAGGCTGAATTTCTCTTTTATGTACCATCAGCAATTTTCTTGAATCACTGTTGTATAGAGATTCCCAGTGGTGCAACCACTGCACTTACAAAGTATGCATATGAATGTCTGAACGGTTTGAAATCATTATCTCTCTTTTTTCTTTCCTTAGACTTACCGGGAGACCTAAGGAAATGCTGCTATGGATACTGCATTGACTTGTTGGAGAAACTGGCAGAGGACATGGGATTTACCTTTGACCTTTATATTGTGGGAGATGGAAAGTATGGTGCGTTAAGTGGGACGGGACGCTGGACCGGCCTTGTGGGGGACCTCCTGAATGGAACAGCTGACATGGCGGTCACTTCTTTCTCCATTAACTCTGCCAGAAGCAGAGTTATAGATTTCACCTCTCCCTTTTACTCCACCAGTCTGGGAATTCTGGTATCAAAGCTTAAAATTGTTAATATTTTTTTTTTGTTAAAATGTTTTGGTTATATGTATTCTAAAGCTGGAGGAATGCCAAATGGGGTGCCAACAGAAATGTTCTTAAAACACCTATTTCTCTACATGTAATAATTTTCCCCATTTTATAAAAGGAGTCAGTAAAAAAATGTATTGGTGAAATTATGCTACTGCAACGTTTTCTTTTGCAAGATTTATTTATTCAGGGGCCTCTCACATGTATTTATTCTGGTGTAAAGAAATTAGTTCATGTTTGTATGAGATATGGCTTTAAAAAATTCTAGATTTTATGTCCCTGTTTAAGCCTACAGAATCTTTTTATCTCATCACTACTGTTTCAGAAAAGACCTAACACGATGTAACCTTTAATTCTTTTGTGCGTTTCACTCTTAATCCCAGTCTTCTGGAGGGAGAAAGATCTTCTTTTTGGCAATTAGTTAGTGGAGCTTTGTGGAGGAAATGTTAATTATAAAAGTTTAAAACAAAAGTCACAGTAGCTTAACCACTGTCAAAAGTACATAGGAAATAAGAACTCAATTACAGAGAAATGGCATTCTTCTAAAATATGCATGCACAATAAGCAATTCATTCAGTTTGCTTGAACATAATTGTAATTAGACTGGTATAAATTAGGATTGTATTCTAGAAAAAGAGTAAGACATATTGAGTTCTGTACTTAAAAGTAAAAATAAGGAATTTATTGAGTTAATTTCCTGAAGTGTTTTGTTTGTTCTTTAATCATTCAGGTTCGTAGCCGGGACACGGCAGCGCCTATCGGTGCCTTCATGTGGCCGCTCCACTGGTCCATGTGGGTGGGCATTTTTGTCACGTTGCACCTCACAGCACTCTTCCTCACCTTGTATGAGTGGAACAGCCCATTTGGCATGACTCCCCATGGCAGGAACAGGCTGCGTGTGTTCTCCTACTCATCTGCCCTCAATCTCTGCTACGCAATACTCTTTGGACGCACTGTTGCCACCAAGGTAAAGAAGCTCTCCCTCTGTGGCAAGTAGGTATCATGCAGGTTTTGTCTGAAAATAGAAATTAGCAAAGGAAGCCGTGGAGAGAGAGGGATGCAGAGCAAGAGAAAGAGAACAAAAAACAGTAAGGAGTAAGTCATGAGAAAAAGCATGAGGAAAATGATAGCGATGAGTGTTAACAATGAAAAGATGAAGAGCAGAGTGGTTAAGAGGGTAGGCAGTGATGAAGTAGAGAGATACGGGGAGGTAATGTACGTACAGGGAGAGAAAAGAGAAAGGGTAAGTGTGTTGACAGATACGAAGGGAGTTTTAGAACAGAATGATAGGGATGGATGAAAGTGGTGAAAGATTTAACGGCTACAGGTCAACTCCCTAAAGTAGTCAGACAAAAGGTTATATAAAAAAAAGAAGCAGGAGCTGTGGACTGCTTAAGGGTTGCTAAGGTGATGGAACACAAGGTAACATCAGGCTGACGGATAAATTCTTAGACAGAGTTCAAAGTGTAATTGTGGAAAAGAGTTTGAGGGTGATGTTCAGTAGATTTGTCTTATAGATATAGTTCTGTGGCTGTTGGCTGAAAAATCACTCCACATACAAATAAAAACAATAGTAATCCACACATTCAAAGAAATCTAAATAAATTGCTCCTTATATGATGAATAAAAAGCTGAATAACAGAAACATTTCAAGCATTTGGTGAAAAACAGACTTAACATCTTGAAGCCACTAGGGGCCTCACCTATGCAACGGGATCTGTAGATACATTATCCCTACAGTGTGACTTGAATGCTTGAGTAGGGGAATCTATCAGCTTTCTGGTCTTACTTTCAGACAAACTGATAGTTCATTTGAAGTGTTTGTGAGATTATTAATTTAGAATCCATCAACCTTCAATGTGTCTTCTTAACAAAAACGTTTAAAGTAATCTTGTCTCTCATTTATCCTCTTAAAATAAATCCAGTCTACAAGTTTATTATGAAGAGAAAACAGCTGTAATTACAGTTTAGCTTATCTGATCATTTTCATGGAATACTGTCTACAGGTCTTTGTGAAGCTTTCTGTGGGTTTTCCTTGGTGGTGTTGTGGTCATGACCACCTAACCAAGACAGAGTTAAAAGGACTAAGACCACAAAATAACAAGATAAGACCAAGACATGGAGTAAATGCAGATAAAAACAAGAACCGATACTGCCCTAACACAAATATATATTTTTTTATTTCCATTATCAATAAGTTTAAAGTAACATTCAATGTTGTGATCATGTTAATCCTGCTGCTAAAATATTCAAACGAAATGCTGTAGCTCATATTTCAGCTAACCTACAGTATAAAATAGCTAGAGACCGACTGGTTGCAGTTGTGCACCTAACTTCTGCCACAAAACCCAACTTTCATGTAAGCAAAAATTCAAGTTTTCATTTTGTCTGATAAATCAGACCAGCTGTTAATAAGTAAATAAGACAAAGCAGTGAACTAGCAGACTAAACCTGAGCAACATTAGTGTTAGATGTAGGCAGAGTGAATGAAAGGAGACAGTTGGTTTTGAAAAGATCTAACCCATTTAGCAATATTGCACAGAAAGATGAACATCCAAAAATGCACTGGAAAATGTTTTCTCATCACTATGAACTTTTCACCCTCAGTGTGTAATGATGCTGTTTTCTGTTTTTGGATGCTGTCGGCATTTCCAATTGATGTAGTAAAACTTATTTGAATGCAGTGAATACATTTGCCTAAATTGCATAATAAATTATACTGCAGCTCTCATTTTGTAAAAATTCGGTTCACCATGTCTAAAACTCAGACAGGACTAGGTAGAAATGTAGTCAGGACACAAAAATGTAAACAAGACCAGGAATGCCCTTAACCATTACAGTAGCAATAAAAAAAAAAAAAAATACTTTTTTTTATACCATTTGTTGAGCCTAACAAAATAGTATGAAACTGGTGAATTTGCTTGGTAATTGTTGACTGTTTCATATTTTTCCTAATATTTAGTAGTTTTCTCTTACCTGTAGATTTCTTTGTAGGGATGGAGTTCTCCGGCTGTTTTAGGCATGAATTTCAAATTCACAGCCCCATTAGGGATATATTTACAGAAAAAACCCTGAAATGTTTAGTTGTTATTTTCACACTGCAGTAAAAGGAAAAAAGAAAGTCTGAGCATGAGTACTAAACTCTGACAGACAAATGTGTTTGCTTTTTGTCTGTCAATAAATAGGCATTGACTGGGGAAACAATCTTGTTTCCTGCATCTTGTTTTCATGTCATTTGTTTGACATAAATATGTAAAGATATTAAATGCGCCTTTGCAATAACAGCATTCTTCTGAGACGTGTCAGACGTGACAGATTGTATCACACCCACAGTCACATTGGCACATGTGTCCAACCACAATAGGGATGAATGATAACTCCGTCCTCTGTGCATTCTTTGTTTTCCATTCAGCAAGTCAGGCTTTCCCAGATCCATCATTATGATAACTTGAAGTTTTCATGCAGCAAGTGTCATTTCCTTAATTTAGGGCTGTCCCCTTTTTGAGTTTGCAGCTCATCATGAAGCATTCTAAATGCGTAATTGCATGTTGTCCCTTAAATAAAGCTGCTGAAAATATCAAGGTAGAGGAGTGATCAAAGGACTGTTGCATAACTCAAAGGTCATGTTTGATCTTTACCTCAGCTAACATGTCAGTTAACAGTTGTGTTCATTAGCAGCCTTAGGAGCTGTTAAAATGTCCTTCAGCTGCTCTATGAAACTCCGGGTGCTGAGCCAAATAGTGATGTTTTCTCAGATTATGGGTGTAGGGCAGGGCAAGCAAATCTATCACTAAAGTTCAGCACTGAAATTTGATTTAATCCATTCAGACATCTATTAGCTATCCTGCTTTTGTTTTGGAATAGTTCATAGGGTCTGAAGCCCAGCCCATTATTAAAAAGAGCATATACCAGAGTTTTTTCCAGTCTATTATTGTGCTATCACAATTCAATTCAATAAAAAAAATAATGTATCAAACCCAAAAGGGAAATTAAATGTTGCAGTAAGACATTTTGGTGTTGTAGGTGTTGATAGCTGTGGGCAGGAAGGAGTTTCTGTATCGGTCTTTCTTGAACCGGATCTGGAGAAGTCTCAGACTGAAGACACTCTGCTGTCGTTTAAAAATCTTTAAACAGAGGTTAAGTAGGATGCTCACTGTTGGCCATAATCTTCTTCACTTTATGAAGAGTTTGTCTTTGTGAAATAATCTCCAGAGGTTCTAGAAGAGTTCCCAGAACCGAGCTGGCCTTCTTATTTTGCTTGTTGTGCTCTTTTAAACAAACAGGCGAGCATCAATGCCTTTACAAACGGATCAATGTTTTAGCTTGATTCAAAAAGAGGGGGGAGTGGTTAGGGCATAGGCGTTTGAATCCTGAGGTTGTGAGTTCGATCCCCAACTCCCACAGACTGTCACTCTGGGTCCCTGAGCAAGACCCTTAACCCCACACTGCTCCCCGGGCACCGCACAATGGCAGCCCACCGCTCCCCAAGAGGAGGGGTTAAATGCAGGAAAGTAATTTCCCTCTGGGATTATTAGAGTACCGGTATATATATATTTAAAAATAAATAAAAAAAATAAATGAGCTACACAGTGTGGGAAAATGGAGGAAAGGGTATTGACTTATCAATAACTGATATTTTCTAAAACCAAAAAGCATCATAGATCGGGATCATTTAGCTTAAATGTAGTAGTGATAAAGTTTTTCTTTTCTTTTTTTTTTTTTCCGATAAGCTCTCCTAAATATTATCCGGTTGTATTGATGTGTTCCCATTTTATCCCAAATTCCTCTGATTAACTGTAAATATAGTCTTTATACCATTAAGTATTACTTTGTTTTAAGTTAGCATGAACATCTGTGTAAATACTGTAATACAAGAATGTATTCTTGTATTACAGTATTAGTAGTACAATTATAATCATATTATTAATAATAGTTTATAATTAAAATCTTATCATTTCTATAAGAATTTAGGCATTTATCTCACCATTTTTATTCATTTGGTACTTGACTTTTCCCCAATGCTTTTTACATTTCACACTCATTTTGTCATAGAATGGATAAACTGTTTGATTTCTTCAAGTATTCTCCTTTATAGCTTTCTGTAAGAAAATAGATAAAAAAAAATATCAACCAGCAGGAGGTTGTACATAGCAGCTTTGGTTTAATTAGGAGTTATAATCTGTTATATTTCATAAAGTCAATCAGAAATACAATCAGCTCTAATGGGTATAATTTAGAGTCTTGAGAAAATGATTCCCAATTAAAATCAAGGTATAACGGATTTTAACCTTCATATTTCCTTAAAAACCAAGATAGAAAAACAAAGACAATGAAAATAGATACAGTGTTTATATAAATCGGGATAGGTTTGGATGAAATTCTGATATTTTGTTACAAAATGGGGTTAAGAGTTACATTTGAATTAACTTTAAACCAAGCTGCTAAATAATGATACATGATTGGCCACTAGAGCTTGTTTTTCTTTCATAAACTTATAGTTTGCCTTCCAAACTATTTTATCTTTTTTTATTTAAAGACTTTGGCCGCTATGGCAGAAATGTGGATTATCATTTTATATACCAGAAGCGCATACTGTATGCGGTGTATTATTCATTTCTCAACACTATAAAAACCGGCTTGTTTCACAATCATATCCCTTTTCTGCTTTGATGATACAGTTTGAGCATCCGTGCCACTAACAACCAAACAAAAAAACCTGTGTTCTCACTGTGTTGTGCCAACAAATCATCTAATCTCGAAGCTTTTTTATCCCATGAAAAGCACACGCATACAACTAGAAGAATGTAGGCTAAGCTGTCAAACTGATGGAGTTAGAGTGAATTAGGGATCTATTTTGAATCCTGCTTGATGAGCTTTTTATTGAACAATGCTTTATTATTTTTCGGGTGTGCGTCACTGTGATGAAGTACACAGTTTCCACAGAAAATTCTGCTTTCAGCTTGTTGTTTAAATATATTTGTAAACATTAAATTAAAACATGTTCTACAAGATTCATATCTTACATTCACTTGGAAACAAGGACTCAATTTACACAAAACATTGCTGAGTCTGCATTTCAAGCCCCCTTTATTATTATATTACCATTATAAAGCAATAGAGTAGCATCTAAACTTAATGAGGATGACAATCCTCCACCAAACATGTTAATGAAAAAAATCATGTTTATATAAAGTATCAATTTATTCCCTTTTCAGCAAACCAACTAATTATGCTGCGGGCTCAAACCCTCTTCACAAAAGTGGGTTATAACCTGGTTCTATTTTTGACGTCCCATTAATCTTCAAGCTTTAAAACAGAAGAAGTGAATTTATTTCTCTTTTTTTCTAAGTGGATTTAATTTGGTTTAGTAATTAAATGATTAAACTTTTCAGGAGGTGGATTCCCCCCTAAGCAGGCAATTTCATAGAAAGATTTAGCCATGTACTGAAAGAAGTTTATTCAGTGGATTCTCCAAGCTCGTTTTTGTTTTTTGCTGATTTATCAAGGAAATAACTGGGATTTTTAAAGGGGGAAAGAACAGATGTTGCATATGATTAGCAATCTTGTATTTCAAAAATTCTAAAAATAATTTTCTGATGCATCTATATAAATACCTTCCTGTGTTTCTTTTCTAAATCCTCTTCAGACTCCTAAATGTTGGACGGGACGTTTCTTGATGAACCTTTGGGCTATTTTCTGCTTACTGGTGCTGTCCAGCTATACGGCCAATCTTGCTGCTGTGATGGTTGGAGAGAAAACATTCGAACAGGTTTCAGGGATTCACGACGACAAGGTAAGATGACTTTCAAGAACACAAGCTTATACCTGGAAGGACTTTATTCATCATAGTGATCAGACAACAATTAAAAACCAGTTGTGCTGTTGGCAGGATATTTTAAGTTGTTTTTATGTAGCTGAAAATATAGTGCATTATTGGGAAATGCACTATATTTCACAGGATTTTCTCATTCTTATACTGTAAAAACACAGCTGCATGCATATGTGATCCTTCTGGTTCTATTGGTTACGCCTTAAAAGTGCAATTATTTGTTTGCAAGTCGTCAATTCTAAAGGATGAATTTTATGAATCAGGAATTTGTCAGGGAAAATTTGTTACAAGACAGTATGATGAAGCCAAAGGTCATTACCAAGACTGATATTGCAAACTGGTTCCCAAAATTGAACACACCATCCTTAACCAACCAACCATATGGACAGTGAAAGGAAATGGCAATCTATCTTCATAAACAGGCCAAGAAAGCAAACTTTAACAGAGAGGCAGTTTAGAAAGTACTGTAATTATGGAGGAGCTGCAGAAATCCACAGCTCAGGTGGCAAAATGTTGATAGGACAACTACTAGCTGTAGTTGTAGCTGGCCTTCATGGAAGAGTGAAAAGAAGAAATAAGAAATATAAGGTTGACATAAGAAATTTGGGACAAGTCATGTTGGAAAAACATTAAATATATGGAAGAAGGTGTTCTGATGGGATCCTAGATGAAACATGCTGCGTGTGGTGAAAAACCAACAAATCGCCAAGAACACACAGTCCCCACAGTAAAACATGATAGGGCCCACATTATGCAGTGGGCATAGCTTAAAACAGGGTAAACTCAAAAGACAACCTGTTAGATGGTAATATAATCTAGTGAGCTATTGACTCTCTTTAAGAATGTATCCCTACACAACAGGTCATAGCTAAAAGGTAGTCAAAGAATGTTTTTTTAAGAAAGGTTCAGTCAAAGGCCTGACTAAAGGTTTCTATGAAATCTTTTGCAATGCTTTAAAAATATATGCATGCTCTTGTTTCAATATGACTTAGCTTGAGCTGTTTTACAAAGACTTCCATCTCTAGATGGTGAAAGCTGGTAAATACATGCTCAAAAGACAAGAGGTGTCATGTTTAGGTTGTTTAAGGACAGAAACACAAATTGAACCAAGAGTTGAGAGGTGCTGAAAATTTCATCAGAAATAGCACATCTCACAGCCATGTACTCGGAACTCTGGACAAGGAACACGGACAGTAAAATAGGCAGTAAAATATAAAGGAGAAACTGGATGTAGAATGGAGAATCATGCATATGACAGAATAACAGAGCAGCAGAGAGCAATGCCAACCAGGCAGCTTAAACAGAGGTGGGAAAGTGGAGAAGCACACAGGAAAGAGTAAGCAGGAACGAGGAACAGCTTAGAGCAATAAAGCCAACGGGAGACAACAGTATTAGGAGCAGACAAGAGATGAAGATGGCAGGAAATCTAACAGAATTAATATAAACATGTACATACAGCAGCACAAGGATAAACTAAGAATCAAATCAATAGCAGGGTGAAATAAAAATTACAGCAGCCAAAAACAACATAAAGAACAGAGAAAAATGGGAGTTACACAGAAAGAGACAAGCTGCAACTCCTCAAGCATTAACATGGGGAAGCTGACCAGAAAAGTTCAACAAGTATTACTGATTTTCCATAAAATATGCTGAAACCATCACTGCCCTTCCACTTCATAAATATGCGCTACTTTGTCGTGACTAGATTAAATAATTATTAAACTGGTGGTAGCTGAAGGCCTGTCTTACTCAGGCTTATACTTTTATTAGACACTAGGCATTTAACCAGTCTTAGACAAGAAAATATTTCTTTGTGACGAGTAGAATATTTCATCAGAAATTAGTGATTTTCATATCAACAAATCATATCAATAGGGGAATTCAAAGCTGCAATTAATTTAGAGGAGCAATAAGAAGGCTATTCATTGTAAAATTATCTTATATTTTCTTTACTCCTTTAATCTGAATCATATCATTTACTCATCAATAACCATCAATATGTTATCCTTTACCATCTCCTTCCTGTGTCACATCCCCAGCTGCACCATCCCTCTCTGGGTTTCCGTTTTGGCACCGTAAGGGAGAGCAGTGCTGAGGATTACATGAAGAAGAGTTTCCCTGAAATGCACGACTACATGAGACGCTTTAACCAGCCCACAACCCCAGAGGGTGTGCACATGTTGAAGTAAGACAACGCATGTTTTCTTTTTTTTTTTTTTTTTTTTTTTTTTATGTATTAGTTGTTTCTCAAGCTCTATGCAAGCCTTAACAGTCTAGTCTGTTTTATATCTGCACATCCTATTGCATCACATCTCTATAAAGCAGAACTGTTGATATTATTGACAGATTCTGCACATGCAGTTTTATTATATCATAAAGTCCCATTATGAATTTAAAAAGAAATAGTAAAAGGTTACACGTTTTTGTTAGTTTTGAATAATATCAGCTTTTTTTTGCCATTTCTCCGCCTAAAGTCATGTTCCCTGTAATCCATTTTTCAATGCTTTCTTATTAAATGGAACATGGTACTTTGCAATTGCACCTGTCAACTGTACAAACGAACACCCGTTGATGTATGTATTTGCACTTTGCATCAACATGACCTTTTTTTAATCCAAATCCATTTCAGATAAAGGTATAAGTGAGGTAAAGGCAGCATAAATTGCATTGGCAAAATGCTTGTGATATAAAGGGAAAATAGTTTTCTTATTCGTTATGAGTTTTGGAAAATAGAAAGAAATGCGAGTCAGGGCCAGAGTGATGTAATTATTGCTTAGAAGGAATGCTTCAGTGGGATGTTGAATAGGGACAGAAAGCAGATGAAAGCAAGAAGGCAGGGTATGTTTATTTTTAAAGTGTAAGGAATTCACAAGGGCTCCAGAAATGATTCATATACAACATTAAAAAACATAAAGCAGATAGAACCTGAGGTACTAAAAGCAAATGTTAACAGAGGAGCTGGGGGGAAGGTTTATGTACCTGCATGACCCTCTCCTGTAAGGGTCGGCTGAAATATAGAGTTAGAGTCATGCATCTGGACATATTCACAGCAGTAGGTCTATTCTATAAAATCTCTCGGTGAAAGCTGGAGTACCTGTGGAAAACCCACATGTGCGCAAGGAGGAAATTTCAATTCTAAGCAGGAGAGACTGCAGCTGGAACTTTACCCTACAACTTTACTCTGCTAAACACCAATATACTGCCTGATTATTATACATATTATACATCCAGGTTTCTATATAGGGACCTAATCACATACCTATTAAACACTATATATATATATATATATATATATATATATATATATATATATATATATA